TGCGCGCACTATCATTAAAGCTGACGCAGCCGTATTGTACGTGTCCCATGCAGTACCATTGTACGTCCATTGTACGTGCCCCATGCAGTTTACCGAGTGCTCCATATATTTTATTCATTTATAAGAAAAAATTGCGGACTGCAGGTGGCCCTGTCGTAGTCACAAAATATTATATCGATGGCGAATAAACTTGAGTGAAAATATTGATAAAAACAATAGTGGAAAATTTTAAATAATATATTATGTGATTATAATATATTGTATAATTAGAGATAAAATGTATTGTTATAATTATATACAGGGTTACGCCAGAATATGCCTTTCGTGTGGTCCTGGTCTCTGAAAAACGTAGATATCCATAGAATGTGTAGGTCAGTAAAACAATCGATAACGACACGTTTTTTTTTACAAAATCGTTTGAATCGTAATTTTTTACGAGATTCGATGAATTACCGGAAATGTGCGAAAACTATTTTGTAATTGAAAATTTGAAAATTGTAATACTTAATGCTTAAAAATGTAATACGATAAACCAGTGCCTCTACCATAAAAGCTGTAATTCTAACTGGAATTTAAAAAAAAAAGGTGGGCAATAAGTGGATACAGCTCTGATTTTCATTAAGTGCCGTGTAGGTTGATGTATACGACAAACGATTCCGAAGACCGTTGGTCTGCCTATAATATTACTATAAATTTTTTTTATTTTTTATTGAGCTTGAGTCCTGCAACTTAGGCCATTGGCTATTTTGTTTGTTTATAGGTTGTTAGTAGGGGGAGGAACGGTTGTTAGGAGGGGGAGGAACGGTTGAAAACACGTTTTGTATGTGTAGCTGAAAACCCCGGGTGGTCACCCATCCTGGAACTAGCAAGGCCGGTCGTTACTTACATTCAGTGCATTTCAGCAGTTGAGTGTACGCACTGAAAGTGTACTTGAGTGAACGCCACATACTGTACATTTGTTTTATGATATTTTTGCTATTAACATTATTTATTTTACTATTAGTAAGACAATACCTAGGACCTAGGTGGAATTTAATTTAATTATATTTCCTGATTTTTTTTGGAAAAAATTTAATTTTATGTACCTAGTTACTATAAAAGTTTCAAGTACGCACAAATAATGTTTTTAAATTACTAAAAAAATAATTAAATTCGTTATTCTCCGTTTAAAATTTCTCATTTCGTCCAAATTTGAACTTAAAATATGCATAGGTATTTAAGAAAAAAATGTTTATATAGTGAGAAATATACTTATGAGAAACCATGTTTTCCATTTTCAATCTTACCTAACTATAAAAAAAAATTTTACATTATACATTTTCAACTACAAAATAGTTGATTTGCAAATTTTTGTGATTTTGATGAATTTTGTCAACATTTGAGCTAATTTCAGACGCTCATAAAAAATTATTTAGTGGAATTTATTAATTTTCACCTCTCGAATACACCAACTAGATTCACTTCCCTACCAGGTAGTTATTGAAGTTGAAAATCGAAGCATTATTGTGACTATTGGAGGGTATAAGCGGGTATACCGTATATACGGCATATATCCTAGCACCAGTTTACTGATTTCGCGTATATCCTATAAAATTACTAGAGATACTTGCGTATAGCATGTATAACTTCAAAATTAATCAAAGACAAAAGTAAAATAAAATATTAATTAGTTTTAAAAAAAATATCTTATCTTTAACTTCGACCAATTAGTTTGATTGTTTGGTGGAAAATTATCATTTGTCTAAGCAACCTGGTGCCCGTTAGGTATGGTGTATAATATCGAGAAAAAATATTACTTCACAAGAATAATTCTCAGGCCTCGTAGAATTGTCTTAATTTGAAATCTATTTTTTTATCTGAAAAAAGAAATCTTATAGGCTGCATTGAACTCAATTTTTTATTTTATTTCAAATAATGGTGCCTATAATATAATTTGTAAAAATAATAGATTAAAATTGTATTATTTTTGAAGACATATTATAAAGTTTGAGATTAAAATTAATTGGAAACTTATGGAAACTATCAATTTTCTAGACTTATGGTTGAGGGACTGTCGCAAGGTTCCATTTTAAGCCCATAAGCACTAATAATTAATATTAAGTTGAAAATAAAAGTTAATGGCAGATTCCATAGAAGACATTATGAATAATATCAGTTATAACTTTAGCAAGTATAATAATATGTGGAGGTCGATTCTTTTTACCCTTTACATACAAACAAAACGGAATTCTGTAAAAAAATGTTAAAAAGTTCAACACCATCTGATGCATAATCGTAAAATATATGATTAAAAATCTGGGAAGGGCTAGATATATACCAATTAACCCGCATAGGCGGGGATTTACCTCACCGTGAGCTAAGTTTAGGTTAGGTAGGAACTTTTTTTTTTTGAGAAGGGGCTACGCCCCCAAATCCAGGATTGTATACTCCTAAGTGCTACTCTAGAAAAAAATTACGAGTAGGTGCCTGACTAACTATAATCTATATATTTATCTTGTAAGAAGACACACAAGTAAAAACACACTTCATTATAAAATCAATACATTTATCGATTCTCATAGAATCTAAAAATGGTTAAGTTTATAATAGTATATATAGCCACACTATTAATTTTGAGTTTTTAATGCGAACGTTTGAAATTCATATGTTAACTGTTCATGTAGGTATCATAAATTCTTAAAATAATATTTATTTTTTTCCTAAATACATAATGTTGTTATAATGTTAACTATACTCACGCTCTTACGCTGTTATACATTATACACACACGCCCATAATACACAATAGTATATGAAGTAAATAAGTAATTTTAGAAAAATGTCGACATATCAAAGTAATAATGAAACGTTCAATACATTTTGATTTTATCAAAATAAAAATTATATAATTTAGTTGTATAGTCAAAATGCATCTCAAATAATTATTACAGTGATTGAAGCATATGCGTAGAATTCCCATTTCCTATCACAACTTCCGGTATACTTCCCTTAGTGAGTGTATCGTGTAGTTGATGTTGAATGTAAATGGCAGTTGGCAGATATCTATATCAATGTAGGTAATATCTGTGATCACAATACCGAGATGAAATAGTTAATTAATGGTTTATTATACTTTTCACCAGCACCGCTGCTTTTAATAATTATTACTAAATAATAACAATATCTAAGTTTTAGGCTTCAGTATACTATTCTGATTTTTATATAAGTGTACCTATTCCTAATAGTTACATAATATATAACATAAAAGAACATCATGCTAATGCAGTAATCTGGTTGAATGAATACACACAATTGTACATGATATATTACGAAGCATCAAAATAATTATTAGCCCTTTGGCTTGATACATTTTTACGTATGATCGAAATATGAAAGAAACCATGCAATGTTCAACCATGAATGATAAATACCTAATGACGTATTCTTTTTTAAATAATTTAAAATACAAAACTCTGTCTGTTAATTCGATTCGATGGACCCCAGTGGCAAAGTTGGATCATAATAAATTTATAACAATAGTATATCACTCACAATAGAAACAATAAAAACTAATTTTAGTAGTAATTATAAATACATGTACAATATACTATACAAAATATATTAATAATTATAGGATTTATTATACACAATATATTACTAATACTGGGATAATTATATTAATATTAAAAATATATGCCGCGCCATTTCGAGATTTGTTATTCATAAAATATCATAATTGTTAATTCATAATACAGCAGAGTAAATATTTAATACTTATAGGCTAAATTCCAAGTCTAAATTATGGATTCTGATCTAAAATTGAAGTAAATTGACCAATTATTGAATTGTACTTTGAAAAAACATATTTATTTGTGAATTATAGACTGCCTAGGTAGAATAGTTGATTATTGATTTTACCTTCTGTAGTTCTGTTAATACATAGTACCTACCTGTATTACAAATTTGAATAATTATTATTTCATTTCTTAATCAGATTAATAAAATCACAAAAAAGATATAATATTACCTGTACAGAAAAAAAGTTTCTTATATGGAAGTAATATCATATTAGTCCATAGATCTGCCATAATTTAATGTACAAAGTTATACATTTCCCAATTCAAACATAATATATTGTAGAAAATGTATTATTATCACAGCATAGACACAGGTATAACGCTCCACCATTGATTTTATAATATACAGATAGGCCATGCTATAGGACGAAATGGAAGCAAACACTTTAGTGTTATCGGCGCTCGATAGGTGTCGTTGATGTATTTGTAAATAACTATTAATTAAAATAAGAATCCACAGCGTTCGAGCATACGGCTGGCGCGCGGTGTCAACGACAATGGTCTGTGGAGTGGGGCCACGATTAAAAATATATCTATATATTAAATTATCAGACCGCCCAGTTCGTTCGCCGTTACACCGTTCCACCAGTTGTCGGTAAATTTAGCCGCATCAAAGCATTTGATTAATACGCGCAAATATTACAAGTGTGTACGCTGCTTTATTCTGAATAGAGCTAGTATAGAATGACTATATTATTAAAATGTAGGTACTATTGTAAGTTTTTGACCTAACGAATACAATTTTATTGACATTTGTAGAATAAAAAACTAAAATATTGAAAAGTATTAATAATTAAATAAAAAAGCATACATTAAACACTAAATGCTTGAATAAAAAAAATATGAAATTTATTTTTCAAGTCATTGATTTTCAAAATAACACACGTAAACTTAAATAACTAATATTATGCCATATAAAACGTAAAAAATAATATACCTACATGTAAATCAAACGGTCAATAGAGGTAGGTACCTAGTCAATTGTTTTTAAAAATACACACGTAAACTTAAATAAATAATCTAACCTAAGGCAAGTTATACCATTGATTATATTATATTAGCCCCCCCTTACAAAGTAAAATAAAAATGTTATAAACAAAATTCATATTATTTTTTATGTATAATAATTAATGTCATGTGTCATATGTCATAATCTGTCAGATACTTAATAATAAGTATCGAATATAAAACTGATTCCATTGTTATTAGATTTTTCTTCCTCAAAAAAATTAAGAATGCCTGTTATAGTTTGTATAGTGCCTTTAAAACATGGAGGTTTAGTAATTTTGCCTTTTTTATTTTTTTGTAAATTAATAAAATATTTTATAGCTTCATTTAAAAATGGTTTTACAATACTGGAATCAGATAATCCGCAATTGTATGGATTTGAACTATACAATGTTCTGCTATTCAAGCAATCAAACAATTTATCAATAAAATCTACAAAATCAGCTGTGTTTTTTGCTGTCTTACTTTTTAATTCATTGGTTTCAATACAAGTACGAATAGTAGACGCCATAGTGTGGCTAAATAACTGAACGGCTAATTTTACTCTCATTTTCTGAAATGAACTTGGGTTGATATGAGCTTCAGTGATTTTTAAGAGAGCTTTACTTTTTATATTTTTTTTGTCTATTTCATATGTTGCTTCAATATCACTAAAAGCTGCAACTGTCATATTGTCCTTTTCAAAACTACAACCTATTAAATTATTTCTTAAACTTTTTATTAAGTGGGGAACATCAAAAATTGAATATATTTTATTATTTTCTACAAAGAAATAAGGATTGTTTTCATCTACGCCTAACGACTTTAATGCACTCTGATTGTTTGTGCCTTGGTCACAAACCAATACTTTAGGACACAATCCGCTTTTAAATAATTCACTTAGGACATCAATTATTAAATCTTTTAGTAATTTATGTTTTACTCCTGAATGAGCCAAAAAGTACGCAACTGGAAATTTCCACGGCGAATACAATCCTCGAGCCATAAAAACCATTACACAATTCGCACTTTTATTTGTTCGACCATAATGTCCAAAATCTTCAAATCCTTCAATGAAGTCATAGTCTTTTGAATATTCTAAAAATTCTTTTATGTACATTTCGTCAAAACTTATACTGCAACTTCTTTCATTATTTGTTTTATGTTCAAATTTTTTTTTAATGTGACTAAAAAATGTGCCACTTAAGCCAGGTAAAAATTTTGACTGTCCGATCCAACGACGAATGGTCGATGGAGCTGGTAAGTTTATATTTTGTAGCCTTAAAAAATTGTAGGCTGTTGGGGATTTGTAGAACAAAGTCAAAGCCAGATTTTTTTCTTCTAGTGTCCAAGGTATTTTCTTATTTCTAAGTTGCATTGTTACGATTGCTCTAGCATTTTTTGATCGAAATTGATGCGAATACATAAGACTTCGTAATGTGTTACGAGTCTTAAATCTTGTTACACGTTGTTTTAATTTACAAACTTGGATATTTTTATTACGTAGTTTAATTTTTTGTTGATCTATTTTTAATTTTAACTTTTTTTTTCTTGGTGTGTCATCTTCATCCGAGTAAATCAACCTTTTTGAATTTGGTGTTGGCATATTTATTAAGTCATTTATAATTTTTCTTTTAGGGGTATCTGTAGTAGAAGATGGGCTTGGAAATATAAGCTCAGTCTTTTCATTTCTCGATCTTCCGTAAGTTTTAGTCGGAGTTAATGGTTTGTTGATATTGTCTACATCTTCATCACCTATACCTATATATAATTTTAACATATTTTATTTTACAGTCTCATTCATTCTTTCTTACCCAAAAATAAGATAAATTTTATGAGAAATCGTTTTAAAATATACGTTTTTGTATTATTGCAATTATTTTAAAGGTAGGCATTTTTCATCATTCGTGTAAGTGTACTTTATCATTGTCGTTGGACTTCGAACTTACTATACCACGATGTAGCCACGTAGGTCATAAAGATAAATAAGATGTGACAACCATATTATATACAGTGGCTATAAAGCTATATAATTCAGTGTTTGTGGGAAAAACGTCGTTCAAATAACGTGTCAGATATGGTATCGGAAATGGTAAACCTCGATAAAATCAATCTTTTTCAGTTTTTTTTTAGTATTTAATAAGTGTTTTTGTATATTCTCTTAAAATTTTAACATGTCTAAAAGCTGATGTTTAATGATTATTTTTATCACAGTATCTCATTTTTGAATAGAAATGCATACGACCATTGATTTTATAATATACAGAATATATACAGTACATATATTATAAAATCAATGAAACGGCTCAAAAAGTGGTTTCATATATTATTATATATCATGTATACAAGCCCGGATTAAGGATCAATTAGGCCTCGGGACACCATACACATAATACACATATTAACGAATTTATATTATTGTATAATTTTTTACTATAAAAAAAATATACAGGATGTATCTTATGTCATTGTATGCGTCTTTTTTTTTAACAATTATGATATGGAATTTCGTTAAAACAAAAAATGACATGTTTTTCTATTTTTAACGGGCAATTTTTTTATTACATTTTCAAAATTTTTAAACACGCAGTTGTACCAATAATAAAATTGACTTTACTTTTTCAAAGGTAACCACTTTGACCATGCCCCCTTGGCCCGCCTTAATTCGGGCTTGCGTGTATATTGTATAAATACAATTACTCTGCCTAATATTTTTTTTTAAATTTGATTAAAAATAAAATAATAAAAATTCAGTACCTGCAGAAGATGTAGATGGGCTTTTGTCTGAATTGTATTTATAAGGAATTGCATTTGATTTCAATTTGTTGTTTTTATAATTTAAAAAATAATCTGGAGAAAAATGCTCCTGGCATATGTAACGATTGTACAACTGTTTTTCGTCTAGTGACAATAAACTTAAATTTCCTATAGAATATTATTTCAATATATTTCAAACACATTTGTTAACTAATTAAAATAAAATTTATTTTTACCAGAATTAATTATCCAAGTTTCACGTCTTTCATCTTTTGGGATTCGAAACATTGATATATTGGGGAATTGTGTTGTTGTTTTAAAACAATTAAAGTATTGACATTTGGTACCCGGCATTTTTGAAAGTAGATAATTAAATAAGTATAAAATAACAAAAAATATTTTAATAAATCAGTTCTTAGAATTTTTAGATATAGTTACAATTCTTGAAAAACTTGAAATAAATCGAAAAATATATTGTATGACCAGTATGGCTTTGTGTCTTAGTGATTTACTGTGCAAATATCACAAACGATATAACAAAATATAATAACCCAGATAATGGTACTAGCACACAAACTACAGAGCACTAATGTACTAGCCACTGCCCACTAGGTGTCTAGGTATCGTTTTCCGCAGAGTTTTAATTTCAAGTAATAATAAAATTAAAAATAAATACGATAAGATTAGGTAGGTATATAAAGTCGGTGTGCAAATAACGAAAATGATGGCATTACAAGCGCATAGTTTATTATTGGTTATTTGGTCACGCTACTCAGCGGCGGATCTTACCCACCACCTCCCTCTTATCCGTCCTATGGCGGGGTAACACCTCGGCTGCCAGCGGCCGCCGATAGCGCTTCATAGTGGCTGCCAGCGACTAACTGTTGCCGATTTTTTTCCTAGCACGGCTTATCTGTATATTATAAAATCAATGGCTCCACGTAAATCAAAATACTTATACACAATTTGAATGAATAATAATATAATATAAGCACATATTATTATATATAATATAAATAAATGTATTTTTTTTAATTGTTAAGAAAATGAATAGATTAAGGCTAATACTAACTTAAATAGTTAAATGTATTTATATAAAAAGTACTTAACAAATAGGGTAATAACTTATAACTTATATCAAAATTAGGTATTAAAAATATTATTGTTATTAATTGTTATTGATAAACCGTGTTTTAGAGTCAGTCCGTCGTGGAGTTAGAGTCAGGGTAAGTGCATATAGGCGCAATTTGGGTTAAATTTATTGGGGTGCTAGATTTATATCGACTAAAGTGGAAAATTGGGGCAAACAACCCCTCCATTCATACAACTTAATTGTATACACATTCGCATTAATCTTAATACAAACAATTACCTATACCTAACATAATACACTTTTACCTATAATATTATTCTGATACCTATGTATCATTATTATTATGAAAATGATAGATTTTGAAATAAATGTATCCAAATCCCTATGGAATATAGTAATTAAAAATTCGATGATGCTATCAACAATTTGGGGGTGCTAAGCACCCCCAAGCACCCCCCAAATTGCGGGTATGTAAAGTGAAACGGACCATACACTTGCCCAATGATCATATTATACCCAAACTTGTTCGTCTAAAATCTAAATCCCGAAAAGGTTCAGTTCAGCTATGTGAACCAAATGTGAAATGATTCATTGGTGCGGTTACATCGGACCAGGGTTGTTACGTTGTAAACTTAATGGTTTGAATACGTTGTTTATAACGATTAAAATACCTAACAGTATACAATGCGTGTGAAAATTGTGTTTACAACAAATTTTTTTCTGGTTTCCTCAATGAGTAGAAATAATATCCTGTCATAGACCAATAATTAAAATTATTGTCAATTAGTGATAATGCTGGGTGATAGATACAGCAATTATCTACGAAAATAATGAGTACCTACATTTAATTTTGATTTATCAGTTATTATAGAATCGTTTGATACCTATATATAATTTATATAATTTATATTCTGAATATAAACTGTATTTAGATAAAAGATCTGTAAGTATTTCATAAATATAATACCTTACCACATTACAGATTACAGACTACAATAAGTATCTACTCTGTTTCTAACTTATAAAAAAAAAAACTAAATAAATAACATCAAACATTTAAGTGTTAGCATTAAAAACAAATGAGATACAATGATGAATGAACACTTATTTGCACTTTTTTCAGGGTAGTCGTGGGAATTGGGAGTTGAATAAACATTAATCATCCTCCACCACCGTTATAATTTTATTATTGTTAACCTAAGTCCAAAATATATAAAAATATATTTTTTTATTTAACTTGTCCATTATATTATAAAGTTACAAACAGTAAAACATCTTAAGGTACAATACATGAACATTATATTACATATTTTAAAATGTTAAATATTTTTAGGCTTGACAAGTTCAAGAAATAAAATTATTAACAATATTTTTGAAATGAATTGATAACAATATTGATTATAATAATTTATTTTTGACATACCACCTAATATTAAAACATAATATTTAAAACTGTTTAAACCCCAAATAATATTCTGTTTTTATAGATTTTTTCAAAATTAATTTATAAAATCGGGCACGGGCATATTACATAATACCGTCAAATCCCACCAAAATGTGTATTAGTATTATAATTGAATCAACGATAATGGATGACGGTACACATTGATTTATATTGTTATGCTAAAAATCGTCAGACAACGCTTTACACAATTATTTTACCAATATTTTTGTGTGATTTTAAAAACTTATCCAATATTTTAGTTTATAATAATACTTGAATACCTACAATACAATTTCAATTATATAATAATAGTGGTCATAAAGGCAGATGAAACTGTCTATTCTTACAAAAAATCCGTGAATTAAATTGGTGACTTTGTGCATCGATGACATACTATATGACCTATATTAAACCTCAACACGCCATCCGGTACGTGGTCCTAAAGAAAATATATAACAATCATATAGGAGATCATATTTGTCGGACCTGAGGTGGCACGTTCTGGCACGGACACAATAGGTGGTAAAGTGCATCGAACAAATTATAATTGTTACAAATTAAAAAAAAAAACTGGTCACCAATTATGAATTAACTAAGTAAATAAATTGATGGTAAATAATAATTATTATGAAGTTTGTACATTGATAGTTAACCATATATTTTACAATACAAGTTTGGTGTATTAGGTACCTTCTATGTTGAATATAACTTTGCAATATTTTTTATTGCGAATTAATTCTTTATTCTTATGGTTTTCTTGTTGGGAAAACTGCCACATTCTCATACGTACCTATTATGTAATATAAAACTACAAAAGAAATTAAATCTCTGGCAGTGACGTATTTAGGTTTTTGTCTTGATTGGTAGGGGGAATTTGAATTTAAATGGTTCATATCAAAATTTACAAAACACTGAAACTAACAATACCATACATAATAAACTTTGAATAAATTAAAACGGCCGTCGTTGGCGGTCATTGGATTGTTTCCATTTTTATAATTCCATAACAAAGAGAGATACACATTTCCAACGTTCTATCAGATTACGGATACGGTTTTAATTTTAAACTCCAATACTTCATACCCTAGTGATACAGTGGCACGATCAGCTGATCAAGTATCGCTTCTAACTTGTTCTGTGATCCTACTCAAGTAGATGTTAAACCAGTTACCGATTACCATTAGTAAGACACTTGAATCACTTCATCACAATAAAAAATAAGTTACTATAAATTTCAAAGTAATTTTTTCTAGAAATCACGGTTAACGTATATCACGGTGGAGTGTGAAGTCGCCTTAATTCCATAATTCTATAAGCCCGCTCGTGGTTGTCCATATGCCCACAGCCACGGTAGTTTGGTCTAGGTAACTTTGGTGCCTACATATTATATGATTATTTAAACGGTATAGGTACCTCTTAAGCTAGCAGAAAACACGTCTGTCTTCTTCGTGCCCACCTTGCCACCAATTGATTTGTGGCGATTTTCAACCAAACCATTTGCGCGTCACCGTCTGAGAGTGCAATGTGCAGAGCAAAGAAATTTAAAAAAAAAATGAACAAACCTCCATATAACCTCAAGCCTGGCAAAACGCACATCCCATTTCTCGACGATTACGCAATGGGTGGATAGTAAAGGTAGGAATGTAGGATGCACATCAGTCTTTTAGATTATTCACGGATTCCTTGTAGGAATAACGATTTTATACACCTCTCCGAAATTTATTTAGAATTTATTGTATAAGTCTAGGTTAATGTGTGTACTTGTGGTATACACGCTATATTGCGTAGGTTTGAAAAATACAAGTTCCGATATTGGAGGTTGTATGATACTGTTATAAAATATTCATGATGTGACATATAAATTATAAATATTAGGTAAATATGATAATTAATAATATAATATTGTCGTAATATAATTTATATATTACAGTGGTATATATCCTTAATGAATATAAACCACGTACACTAGATATGCAGCGTTATTAATTATTACATTATTCTGACATATAACGGTATATAATTATTAATTAGGTGGTGTAGGGTGCGAATTTGGTGAGGTGGAAGACTTGTTGCCATGTAATATAATATTTTTTATATAGAGTAACATTTTCCGTGATATCATATTATGCAGGGATTTTTTTTTTTTTGTTTTTCTAATAACGATAATTTTTGATAACAAGGATTATCAATAAAACAAAAAATTAATTACTAAGAATCTAATAATATTGTGAATTCAGAATTAGCAATTTTTGCAAAAACGATAATATTTCAGTACAAATGATTGGTTCAAACAGGTTGCAATTTTTCAATATGTTTTTTTTTCCAACAAGTCCAAGCTTGTTCTTGGCCGGTGCAGATAGGTTCCTATAGTACCTACAACAACAATAAACAGCTTCTCTGTCGTCGCTTGAAACGCCCTGTACAATATCTGTAGTGAGTAGTGACGTAGATGCGTTGCAGCCGGTTGTACAAAAGAGATATCCGTCTAGACGTCCTCCGCCTTCACCTACTTGTATGCATATACCTATGCGGTCCGTCCAGACGTGGTGTGTTTGTCGTGTGCGTGTGTGCATGTGTGTGCGTGTGTGCTCATGTTTATATATGTGTGTTTGGTATAGGTACTCAAAGCAGGGGTCATCGCGCCCGAATCCGTTTATTTTACGTATGTGTGTGTACAAAAAAAAAATCATAAATAAACGTACCCATAAGACGAAAGAAATTCATCTTCCAAATGACTGACGGGTCTCGTATTGGTGGGACTTGTCGCCCGAGGACTCGTCTGGGTCACACGCGATTCGGGGGGAACGCCGCGACGGT